TGTTGATATTTTTTTGCTGCAGTTTTAATTACAAAGCACTTGTTGTTTGGGCTTTAGGCTAACAAAGGCCATGGCTGGGCATGGCGCAATTCCAACCCCAAGCCTAGAGTATGTTAAGAGCGCGCCAATAACCGCACTTGAAAGCGCGCGCACAAAAGTATGCAGCACTATTTGGCCAAATGACTTTTGACGCTCGACGCTCAGCGCATGGCAATATTTGCATGTGGTCTCTGTTAGTGTGTGTGTGTCTGTGCGTGTGAATGGTAGTGTTTATCGGTATGTTAGTGCCGTTGAGTGCAGGCCATGCTGCCAAAGGCCAGCATCGAGAGACTTTCAAATGAATATCGCAAAAAGGGGGCAAAAGGAAAAAACAAATTATAGGAAAACGAATTTTTACTATTGAAAATTTGCTATAAATGTTTGAAAGTGCATTTTTCTCAATTTATTCCGCATTGACGTTCAACTGTGCAAATTTTGTTTATTAGCTTTGAGCGTGTGTCTGTGTGTGTATGTACGTATGTGTGTGTGTGTGTGTGTGTTTCTACGTATGTATGTGCTTGTGCTTGCTAAACAGCTTCGCATTGCTCTGTTTGTACAAGTTTATATGGTGTCTGCTTAGGTATATAGATTTAGCTTACAATCCGTAGAGGTTTTTAATACTTGTATTTGAGCTTTGAATTTTGAATGCTACTATAGAACATAGAACACAAATCTAACTAAGTTCTTAGCGGTTTACTAGCCTGTACAGATGACAAGCAAAAATTTAGAGTATAACCAGTTAGAATAAATAGCTTCGGAAACAGAATACCAAAATGCGTGGTTACATTTGTTTTCTTTTTTTTTATAGTTGTGAAGAAAAAACCTTGTGCTTTTTGACTGTAAGACTGCTTAAAGTAAAAGTAAAGCTTGAGTATGCTCGCTTTTACGTTTTTTAACCGTTTAACACGTTCTTAACAAGGTTAAGCTGATTTCGGCTGACAACGTCTCTCAGTCCACAGATACAGACAACTCTTTAAACTTTGCGCGTTTCTTTTTAAAATTTGTTCCGGTTAAAAATGATTTAAGGCTAGACTTACTTCAAAAAGCATATTTTAAATATACATAATCTATATAAAACTTACATCCTAAAGCAAATCAACAATTATCCGGGATGATGTGGTTAATTTCAGAATTTTACCGCTTAACTATTTAGAAGCTAAGCGTTCTTGTCACAATTCAATTAATTATGTAGTTAATCTTATAGAGGCCCCTTAAGGTGCTTACTTATCATTATGTTGCCAAATATTTACCACCTGAATTAAAAGAAGATTATCCTATGCAAATATATTCTTATCACAAGTTTTCACTTAAATATTTTACACAAAAACTGCTGCACAAAATGCAAGTGGTGCAAACAAAAGCGCCAAAAAGCACTTTGGCTGGCGATTTTTGTGCTTCCTAAAGCATAAATTCAAACAAGTTTGCCAACGTTGTGCCTGCGCGTGTGTGTGTGTGTAGGTGTGTGCCCGTGTGTATGCCAAAGGGTTCAATTATGAACAGAGCTCTTCAGGTGACAAAAAAAAGAGAAAAAAGCTGTCAGAAAACGAGGAATAAACGCCTAAAAGCGAGTCCCCTGCCGGGAACCAGCTATGCAAACAAGCTACACAACTCGACAACTCTGCAAGGCAGCAAGGCGGCAACTCTGAAACTGTAATGTGTAAAAAATGTAACACCTCGACGTGTAAAGCTCTGTCTACAGGGAGCCTAAAAAAGCGACTTCAACTTTGGGCCAAGCGCGAGTCCTCTCTTTTTTTTTTATTATTGACGCTCCTCAGTGATTGCAACTTTTAGTGGCCAAAATGGGTTGCGGTCAGGTGGCGGCAGGTGGCATGCGGGAGTCGGGCCTTCCAATTTCAAGGCTCATTGTGTTTGACTCGAGGCATTGGTGAAGCATTAAATTAACTTTAAAAACTTTGCCGCAAACACAACAAAAGACGAAAAACGCAAAACTAAACTTGAAATTAATTAACCGCGACAAGGCCAAAGCAATACAATAAAAACAATGAAAAATATCCCCTTACGTAAAAGAATAAAAAAAAACAAAATCAAAAGCGAGTACTTAAAAAAATTCCGAAGAGTCTCTGCAAATTAAACTTTCCTCCCATTCCCTTTATTTCCTGCCACATAACTCATAAAGCCCCTAATTACGCAAACAGCTGACGCGGCCATAGACAAAATAAAATCAAATAGGGTGGAGGCGTAGAGCATAGAGTAGGCGGCACACGGGTGGGAGCAGACCCTCTCAACTGTGCTCAAACAAAGACAAATTTGCGATTTGTTATATAAAATAAAATAAAGTATCCACGAAAAAGGCAAACATTTTCAGCCGAGCCGCAGCCCGGATACTCTGTTAAAGGCTGGCATAAAGGAAATTTCTTCTTTTGTTTTGCCGATTTGTTTAAAAATCTTAAATTTAATTAAAATTAAATGAATAAAAGTTGAAGCTTACCTTTACAAATGTTTGCATCTTTTTGTTAGCACGTTCCAAGAAATCGTCTGCAAATAATATACGCGATTTTAATATGAAATATGGTTGCTGAAAAAATGGTTGCACAGAAAATTTGTATTTTTAAAATAGTATAAAGTATTTTTAAACTGTTTCAGTTTTTAATAAAGCTCTTATAGTATTGGAATATATAATAAGAAATAAGCTGCTTTTATTTAGTTCTAACTAAAATGTAGAATGTATTTTTTCTCTGAGTGTACGAATTGTCAGATGGGGCTCATCATGCATTACGACTGATTGATGTTTAATATAACCTCTGGTTAACTTTAAAAATTAAAGCGTATACGCAGTGCAACACACGCGTGTAAATGATTGTGGTCGGGATGGAGGGAATGCCTGAAAGCAGGCTATAGTATTTTTTCTTCTTCTTCTTCTTCATTTGCGAAACAGGCGGAACGTTACACGCAGCCTCGCCGCATGTATTTCAATTACTGCATTTCTCAGTCAGCTGCCAGCGGCCCCACTCTCCACGCTTCTCGCTCCATTCTCAACTTCCCATAGCCCCCATCTTCGACTCTGTTCGAGCATCAGTAACGCGTTTGTGGGCCCCGCCCATTGGCAGCCGCCTGCGAAAGCATTTTTTTTTTTTATGGATTTTTAATTTGCGCCAGGCGCGCATTTGGTTTCGCTCCTTTTATGTTTTTGTGTTTTCGCGCGCTTTTACGCAAATTCATTGTTTTAATTTACTCAAGTTTGTTGACCGAAAACAAAAAACTAATCAATGTGGGCGCCGCCGGGTTAGGCTGGGCGTGTGGGCGTGTGGGCGTGCTGAGTAGGGTGCCCAACCAAGGTGACAAAGCAGGCGGCTCTGGTCAGTAATGAGGTCAAAGCCTAGAATAGGGTTAAACAGTGTACACAATTTTTAATTAAACATTAAGTCTGGCAAACTTTTTGTTGTGGTTTTCTATCCGACGTGGCTCAAAGAACTGCGTGCCGTAAATATATATATATATATATATATCTGCATTTTTTTCTAGCATTTTCCCCCCAGTTGGCATTTGGAAGCAACCGCAACCTGCTAAGTTGTGGCCCGAGAAATATGAACTTCAAAAAGTGAATCTTGCGAAAAAAAAAACGGCGTAAAAGGGGAATCGGCTAATGAGATACAGTTAAAAAGAAAAGTTTATCTTTTTAGTATTATTTGTTGGTAAAACTAAATTATATTCATAGTGAAAGATAAATTCTAAAAGCGAAAATAACTGAGATTACATTTTAAGGGATTACAGTTTTTAGCTCAGACTGTTGAAACTTGGTTTAATTCAAACAAAAAGTAGTTAACGAAACTAAGTACAGCAAGAGGATTAGGCAGAGATGCAATACCCTTGCTCTTGCAGATCTACGATACTTTAGTCCGAGAATCTTTCAGAAACTTAACTAGAGACTCGTCTATTAGATACTCGTCACGATTTAATTCATATAGCTTATAATCTCGAAGCTCTCTATCGCAAAATGTTAGAAATGTTGTGCCTTTTGAACATTATAAGCAAAATGTTGATAATTTTTATATTTACTTTTCTTACAGGCAACTCTTCACACTTGAACGAAACAACGATATTTAACTGAACAAGCTAAACTAAAATAATCAAATTTACAACAGCAACAATTGCGACTTACGGTTTCTCAAGCTCTTTTGAACAAAAAAAAAATACAAAAAGCAAAAATAGTACTCAAGTGCAAATTATGTAAATTAAAAGCAAAAACAAAAACAAACCAAAACTTTGAAAATAAAAATAAATAAAGAGCCTGCTGAAAATGCGTGACCAGAAAACCGGAAATTAAATTTGCAACAGCCATAACCTCAAAAAAAAATAAAATAAAAGTAGTGCAAACAAACCGCAGCAGCCAAAAATTCTGAAGGAAGGCAAAAAAAAAAAATAATAAAACAAACACAAAATATTTGCCAAACAAACAACATTAAAAAATAAAGAGATAGCGAGAGGCAAAATAAGAACGGAATGAAGAAATTTTGCTGGTAAATTTGTGCAGAGATTAAAAAAAGTGGATTAGAGACAAATTCTAAATCAAAAGCAAGCTACAAGCGAAATATAAACGACAAATATTCTAATAAGTGTATAAGCTGCAGCAGGAGCAAGAGAAAGAGAGAGTGAGAGAGAGAGACCGAGACCGAGACCGAGAGAGAGAGTGGAAGAGAGGCAGTGAGAGGAAGAGATAGAGTGCAACAGAACTGGCCTTCATAGCTTGGCACGCTGCGCTGAACTCTGACCCACTCGACGCGTTTGTCTTTTGGCCTTACTGCTAATCACGGCAACGTGCCAGGACTAGCGAGGCGGGACGCTGGGCGCTGGCTACTTAAAACCCGCGGCGACAGGCGACACATTGTTGCAGCTTCTGGCAGACACTTTCACTCTCAAAACAACAGCAACAACAACGGGGCAACAACTATAACAAAAACAAAAACAACAACAACAACGGTGCTCGCAATTTAAACTAAAAACAACGCAAACAACAAAACCAAGGACATGGACTCGTCTACGTCGTGCACGCTGTTTGTCGCGTTGATCTTCCTTGTGATAATTAAAGGTGAGTGCTCGCTTTTGACCCCACACGCCCGCCCCAGCCTAGGCCCTTAACACACATTTACACAGCATAAGCTCCCCCCCCCACACACCTACACGCAGTTAAGTTTGTGTGTGTGGCTAATGAAAAGCCACGCAAACATTTTAGCGAACTTAATTAAATATATAATTGTTAATATTACTTAATTAATGGATTTGATTTCACACAAGGCGAACATTTAATTTTAAATGCAGCGCACGTCTTCAACTTTAAGAATATTTTATGCACACGATATATGTAAAGTTAAAACTGCGAATTTAATGAGGCCATCCAAAAATAATTTTCGGGGCTGTTTCAAAAGTTAAGAGCATAGGGGCACACTTTTATCATTTTTTTTTACACATATTTTTGTCAGAATCGTGTTTGAAACATTTTTGTAATACGAAAGATTTAACCTGGGTACATATGAGGAAATAAGTTTAAAGCTTATCTTTACATAGATTAACTCTTCACTAATTTTAGGGATTTTTGAAAGGTAGCAAATACATTTTTATGCATTTTGATCATTCTGCAGTTTGGGATGGAATTCTTCAAAATCTCGACAGTTTGGGCTGTACATGTCACTTAAGTAAAGCAAGTCGGTCAAGATACTTAGATAGATCCATGATGCTGTCGCTTATTACATTTTTTCCAGATAGTTTGTCGTTAAAGTTTTCTTTAAGCAACTTCTATTTACTTATTCTTGCTTGTTTTTCACCCAATTTATTAACCACTCGTTGTCCTTTGTTGTGCTTAGCTAGGGCTACATAAAACTTTAGAGGTCCTTCCTGTTGTACAAATCCGTGTGTGCCGCTATCAATTCGAAATGCACAACTCTCAGGACTTTGCATAAATCTTCTTGTCGCATTACTAACATGCCACAAAGCGCGTCGCTGACTGTTGCACTCGCTAGCCCGCCGTACACCACCCACTTGAGCTGCTTTCGCGTGCCAGCACATTATTCAATTCCACATCGGATTTTTCAATTTTCTTGGCCAACATTTTCACGGCGCTTTAAGCAGACCAAACACAGTAACTGGGTAGAAAGAAGCAAAAAAAAAAACCCCGCCAACGACAAATACTAAACGGAGCGCAAAATGTAAAAGCCACACATGAAACATAGAAGTGTATATAGGTAAGATATATGTATGTATATATATATATGCGTACATATATCTATTCATATGTATACCTATCCATATGGTAGCTAGCTGAGTGTATTCCCACGTAGCTCGCCATAAATTCACATTGTCGCCGTTGCCATCGCCATCGCCCATGGAGCGCCATGGAGATCGCCTAGAGCCAAAACTTGGCCATATTTTTTAGTTTGCCCGCGCAGCAGCTCGGCAATTGCCAGAGCTAAAAAAAAAGTAATACGCGCGGCAATGAGACAAATATTTCGAAAAGAAAAAAAAACGGTATAGGAAAAAAAATATAAAATTCTCGTACAATTGTCAGAGTGAGCCCCAGGAGAGCCTACTTCAAATCTACAGCTGCTCCCCAGTGTGCAACCAACACACACAAACACACAGATGTACGCACGCACTCGCAGTTTTTCAAGTTTTTTTTTTTTTTCGCCTTCCAGCTTGCATTCAGTCGAGAAGTTGTTTTTTCTAGTTCGCTGAGCGGCTTGGGTTGGGCGGCAGAGTGGTAGAAGGGTAGGACGGGCAGCAGGGTAGTCTCATGTGTTAGCCGCTGTTGTCAAAAATAACAAGCGAACGACGCACTCGATGCTCGATGCTCGTTGCTCGTTGCTCCAGTTGCATTGTTTCCACTTTGACGGCAACGAAATGCATTAGAATTAAGTGACAGCTCTCCGGGGAGGAGTTCAAATTGATTTCTCTAATATTTTAAAGACCTTTTTTTCGATTTATTATAGTATTTAATATGCTTCGTTTGCGTCTGCAGATTGCGGCCGTACAGTGCAAATGGTAAAAAAAAGCCAGTCAAGTGCTTCAATAACTGCAGTGCTCTTATTCCTAATTAAGGCTACATATTTATGCAATCTTCAATTATATGTCCTCAATGCGAACTGCTGCAGTGCAGTAAGAAAGCAAAAAAAAAAAAAAATAAGGGAAGAACAAAAAATGTCAGCCAAATGCTTCATTGTCTTCCAGGCTCTTAATGTTAATTATGGCATCGTATTTTTCCCTTCAATTACATATCTTTGGTCAAATCCATGGCATCGGCTTCAGCTGCAGAGTGCTGCACTGCAGTGGAAAGACACGCACAAAAAAAATACAGGAAAGAGAAGATACTCGACTCAGGGCTCTTGATTTTTCCTTTTCTCCCAGCCCAGTTGAGCCAACTTAAACAACGCAGTGGACGCTTACTGGCAAATCTTTGATGGTCCTTGCCCTGTACTTCCGTTTGCCGCTCGCACTTCTCCCCCTTGCCCAGAAAGACAAAGACTAATGAAGATGGCGTTGCATTCGATTTCGTATTCGCAGTCACATTCAAGTTCATGGCAGGACAAATATTTTCAATAAGCTTTCCGTGGCTGTAACAAACTGCGCACTGATTGGAAAATCAGCAGTTGAAAATTGCCAAAAGCAAAGAAGCAGACGGCGCTGGCGGAGCAGAAGGGAAAATACAATATTTCAGAGATTCAGCCGAATGTTGTCAACTTGTTGTTGCCAGCCAGTTGGCAGTTGGCGCATAAATTTCATGGCAATTCCAGCGGCTCTGCTCTCCACCTTGAAGTTGTCCCTTCACCCGGCTTTCAACTCGCCTGCCCCTTCATTTCCTGCAGTTTGCCAACGGGAGGGGCTTTCGACTACATATTGCTGGTCATATATTTTGTTTTTAAGCATTGCGTTTTATGCATTGCGAAAAATTTAAATGACATAAATTTCTATTGGATTTCCGTGGGCAAAGCCAAAAGCCAGCACATTCAAAATGTCCTTAACATATTTTGGGCTTTCATTTACATACGCAACGCTTTTAGCTTCAAGTAAGACTAGCACAGAGGCGTCTGCAAAAGGCGTGGCAAACTGATGCAGTAAAAGGGAAAAGTTTTGGTATGCATTAAATGAATTTTACAACAACTGAAGCAATAAAAATCAAATGAATGAGCTAATTAAAATGCGACAAAAATACTAGAATACCTAAACGAACATTTCAATATTTAATTCAAATTAAATTATATATTAGACAATATAATTGATGCACGAAAAATAAATATTAAACATGAATTCAGATTTTTTTCGACTTGATTTAGCCAACTCAACAATTTGTTTGTAACATTATCTGCAACGAAAAATTTCAGATCAACCAAAAACTTTCTTATCTTTCGGTTTGGCAAGCATTTGGCAGCCACTGTACGTCTAAAGCAAAGCGTTGCCGTTGCGGCAACTCTCAGCTCGAGCAGCGCTTGGCACCCACTTTTAGTGAAAAGTTTGCCCCTGCGGGAGACGCCACTGACGCCTGCAGGTAATGCGGATAATCCACATCGAGAAGCGGCAGCGACGACTTCGACTTCCGCTCGACATCCCCAGCAAGTTGCACAACTTTCAAGGCCGCCAGCGGGCAGCAACCCAAACACCCACCCGACCATCCCCGTACCCGGCTCCGAGCCAGCCAGTCGTTAAGCAAGCTGCACTGTAAGAAAAACAAGTTTTAGTTATACGCTCTGCATTTCCGCGGCGCCAGCCCAACTTTAGGTGAGCTCCATTTGGATTTCGAGTTGGTCGTAACCTTGCTCCAGTCTCCAAAGCTGGTGTCTGTCTCTTTCTTTGGGGGGGGGCGGGGCACCTGTAGGGCATCGCATGAGTCAGCGCTGCCGCCACTAAACTTTCCAAATAAGCATTTTTTACGCGGCCAATCCCTATCCGCCCCACTGGCACTTCTCGCCTGTCGCTAGATCGTAAAAAAAACTTAGTGCCTGCGCCTAAATAACCGTAAACGGCACTCATGGGCCTTACACACAACAAAATTCCAAACTTGATAGGCATAAATTTGCTGTAATTTAACGCATTCAATTACAAAAAAAAAAAAAAAAAAAAACAAAAACAAAAGAATAAAACGCCTCGCGAGCGTCTTGCGACTTACTTAAAAATGTCATAAAATGAGAACAAGTAAGAAGCCCATAAAGGACAGTACTCCACAATGGGAACCCACCAGGCATTATCGAATTTTCAGCCAAAATTCGAGGCATATTCGACCGCGCAAGTATCTGCAAGCGAAATTTAAAGCTTTGAAAACATGTAAATATGCACTTTATCTAAAAGGGTTTATTGCAAAATTCATGCAATTTTCAAAAAGTATTTTTATTAAACCTCTTCAAACTTCTTAGAAACCAAAAGTAAATAATTCGATTAGCAATAATTAATGCCTTAATAATAAGTAACAGCAGCTTCAAACAGCACACTGTTAGCAGCTGTAATTAACAGTATTAACTGTTTCTGTTACATAACATTTACGTTGTTAACTAAGCGACATTTAACGCAAAATACGTTAGCCAAGCTGTTTATCTTAATATCTCGTTGGGGATTTATAACAGAGCCCTGGCCAAGCTAATATTATTTTAGAAAACCCAGTAAGACTTGATGTCGAGTCTAGTGCAAATAAAGTTAGCATGAAAAGAAGCATATATTAAATATCAAATTAAAATCCAGACAATTCTCAGCTGTTTGCCAGCCACTCGAAGGCAGCGCTAAAAGCGTTTAAAATGAAGAGTTGCCGCTAAGGTAAAAATTGGTGGCTGAGCGTAGGGAATGGTAAGCAAAAAAAAAAAACCAAAAAGAAATAATTGCGCCCAAGGCGACTACAAAGCGAAATACAAACAGAGCTCAGTGGCGCGCTCTCCCAATTTCTGGCTCTCTCTTGAAAAGCCCCGCGGCGCCGTAATATATGCAATGCCCGCGTCAGTCTAAATGAATGTGTGCGTTGGTGTGTGTTTGCGTCTGTGTGTTAAAATGTGTGTGTGTGTGTGTGTGTGTGTAGACAAGCTCCAACCCAATTGACTTACAAGCTACGTTTTCCACCTGCCCAAAACAACACAAAAAAAAACATGCAAATTTCAAGGCACAGCGCGAGTTGATGCCTTTGTGTGTTGTGCGGCGATTTGCATATCCACGGCAAGGGCGGTGCACGGCGGGAGGCATGTGGCAGGGCATGGGTGCCCAGGCAATAGCTACAGCTTCTGTCTCCATGGTGACATTAACAGCGTGGCGGCTGCTGATGAGGGATGGGAGGGGTGTAGCTTTTAGTCGGTCAGGTGAGCGTCAAGGAGCCGAGCCGAGCCGGCTCGACCCAATGACTGACTGTGCCACATCGTGTGGCATTGAGTTATTTCATCGCACAATGAAAAAAATAACATTAAAAAAAAAAAAAAACTGGAATGAGCAGCAGCGCTCCAGACGCATCCAGGCGGTACTGTGTACAAGGATTTTCAAGGATATGCGGGGATGCGCATGTTTATTCCCGTTTTTCTGGCACATTTTTACGCTCAATTCCAGTGAGTCCTTCACACACAGATACACACACACACACACACACACACATACGCACACGTTGAGAGCAGTCGACGCTTGCGTCTCTTTTACTCAAAGCTGCGTGGGTTCATTCAATAGATTTTCGCACAGATATATATATAAAATATATATATATATAAATGTGATTTTTTATATGTATCTGTTTGTGTATACACTGTGTTGCTCATATAATTAGGCACAGTCCTTAAGTGTTATTTATTTCATTAAATAAATATTAACAAAATTAATACTTTCATAGCAGGGAGAGTCCGTATTCTGTATATGCCATCCATATAGTTATAGATAATAAATATATGAATATTATACTTATATTAGAATAATAATTTAATCATTTAACTAATTTATTTTTAGAATGATTGTCATTATTACATTACATTTTTATTATATTTATAGGATTTGGTTATCAAAAAATATCTATTAATGCATATATATTGTAAATTTCATTCCCAAGCAGCTATGCTAAGTATATCTTTAACTGCTAAATATATATATATTTGGCAGTAAATGAAAAAAACCTGACCCTAATTATATGTCCAGCAGTGTAGCTAGATCGATTGTGTATATGGGCAGCATCAAGTGTTTATTTTGCAGCTCTGTGTTGAGCTCATAATTGACAGACAGCTGAATTTTGTATATGCCTTCTGTCTGCGTGGGCAGCAACCGAAATGATGGCAACTCGAAATCGCACTTGGACTCGAACTGGTATTTGGACCCAGAGTTGTGGCCATTAGAGTTCGTTACTGGGCAATTTATGTTGCAGTTGGCAACTGCAGCTGAGTGCGTAGGCATGTTGGCGGCCCGGCACTTTAATTGAGCCGAAATGGTTGAGTTTTAATTAAGAAATATGCCGAGGAAAAGAGAGCGTGAGAGTGAGAAAGAGAGAGAGAGAGAGAGGGGGAGAGGGTACGCACGCATTAGAAGCAGCCACAGAGTGGCAGACAAGTCCATCAGCAGGCTAACAGCCAACAGGCCGAATTCAAAAGCCAAATCCTAGACCAGGCACAATTGTCACGGTGCCCCGCAAGCATGTCAAGGATGCTGTCGGCAGCTCGTAAGGGCAGGTGCCAACGGGGGGCGCCATGCATGGCATGCACCTGGCCAGCACGTGTGTGTGCCCCACTCCGTCTAAAAGCCAAATGGCGTTTTGTCATATCAGCTGCTCGTTAGCCATGTCAAGAGCAAAGGGCGGGCGGGCGGGCGGGCGGT